CAATTGTAGGGGAAATTCTGGAGGCGCCAGCCCTGGGGGACAATCCTAGGGGCAGTTGTGGGGGAAATTCTGGAGGGGGCAGCCCTGGGGGACAATCCTGGGGGTTAATCTCGGGGGCAATTCTGAGGACGATCCCAGGGGCAATCCCAGGGGAAATCTTGGAGGCAATCCCAGGGCCAGTCCTGGTGGGGGGACAATCCTGGGGGTTAATCTCAGTATGGGGTCAATCCTGGGGAGCAGCATCTGCCGCCCCGGCGAGATCCATTCCAACGTGCCGGCGCCTTTTCCGTGCCGGAATTGGCAGTGCCACTTGGCCATATGTGACTGAAGGGAGCCCAGCTGGGGACGAGGGACACGGGGGGCTGCTCCAGAGCTCTGGCACCCGCTTGGCATCCCTCCAGCCCGGATCCGTGCTCACCCATGGCGCTGCCGAGGGATCTGGGTGGTGACGGGTTGTTTTCGGCATCTCGTGCTCATGAGGGGCTTTTTGGGGTCGTCTGACTGCGGGGCCGCGGTTTGGGGGGGGGTGTGCGGGGATTTTGGGGGGCTCCTGCCAGCTCAGCCCTGCGTGGGGTTCATTAGTCACCGTGTTAACGAGCTGTGACTCACCCGGATCCCGCTGCGTGGGGAGACCCCGGAGCAGCGCCCGGACCCCCGGCACGGACCCACCCAGGGAGGGGGGTGCAGGCAGCCAGCCCCGGCCTGTGGGGCCCCAACATCTCCCCCCTTGGGCCTGCCCAAAAGAAGCACCGTTCCGAGCAGGATTAGGGGAGCTGGTCTCCATGGAGACCGTGTGTGTGTCTCCGCACTGGTGCTGCTGGAGATGCTGGGGCTGCGCTTGTGCCCCTCTGGGAAACGGGGGCAACGCTCGCCGTCCCTCCCTGACGGCGCTGGGGGGATGCCCGGGACAGGATCCCACATCTCCTGCAGTGCCAGGGGTCCTGTGGCGCCCGGGGGTCCCACAGCAGCAGGAGTCCCGCGGTGTTGGGGGGTCCCACAGGCAGGACTGGGGGTCCTGCAGTGCCACCCGTAGGTTCTGCAGCACCGGGGGTCCCCAGGGCAGGATCGGGGGTCCCGCGGTGCTGGGGGGGTCCCGTGGCGCCCAGGGGTCCTGCAGTGCCAAGGATCCCACGACACCCGGGGGGGATCCCACAGGCAGGGCCGGCGTCCCGCAGCTCTGGGGTTCCCGCAGGCAGCACCGGGGGGGTCCCGCAGCGCCGGGGGTCCCGCAGGCAGGGCTGTGTGCCCCCCTCCCCTCCCCGGAGCCCCGCTCCCAGGCAGCTCAACCCGCTGCCATCTGCCTGCGCTTGACCCACCGGCTCCCGCTCCGGGGAAGCGCTGCTCGCTGCCGGGAGATAATTGGCGGTGCTAATTAGCACGTTATTAAAACACCCCTCCTCCTCCTCCTCCTCCTCCTCCTCCTCCTCCCGGTGCTCCACGGCGGGGCACGGCGCTGCCGGGCGTGACACCCACCGTGCCCACCTCACCCCACGAGCAATCCCGGCGGCGCGGGCGGGTGGGTGGATGGATGGATGGGGCGCCCGGTGCGACACCGGGTGACAAA